GTGTAGAGGGAATGATTTTCTAACTTCACATGTCATCAGGATTTCATTTACCTACTTCCAGCACAAATAATACATTAGTGCTGGTTTCATTTCTAAGAAAACTAACTGACATGCATAGTTAAAATGTTTTTAAAGATGTTTTCAAACAGCGGAGATTTCTCTTCATAGTTGTATATATATACCGAAAGGTACACATTTTATCTTGACTGAAATATCAAATCATTAATTACTACTAACCAAATAGTATTCAATAGTTTCCTTACTCTGTTTTAACTATACGTATCTGTATATATTTATAAACACTGAAATTGTTAAATAATCAGATAATATGTATCTAATATAATATCATAATGTATAGATCCAATCAGTTATGTTTACAACAATCATACAAATGTAGCTACAAAAGGGAATCCAGATTATTTGTTTAAGAATTTACATGTGAATAATTCAAGGAAGAGGTTTTTTAAAAAATGCATATTGATAAATGCTCAAGAGTACTTGAGCAAATACTTGTTTCCAATATGTTCTTCAGAATCTACAGTTAGAAATTCATCATCATTGTATTACATTCGATATTATTTTATGGTATACATATAAAATAGCGGATTTCACATTGATTATGACCTAAATACAAAATATATATATCGACTTTTAGGATAAAACAAGACATCATTCAGTACTTTCGTCAATGTAAAACGATTTATTTTGTTCTATCGAAGACCATAGTACAAATCACCTACTAATCAGTTTTCCAATAATATGTTTATTCTAATATAATATATACTAGTGTAATGTTTAAATGACCTCTTATATGGGTTTTTATACAATAATTTATTCATTTTACACATGTAACATATGATAGAAATGTGGTGAAGTAGTAAGAAGCTCTAGTAAAATCGATCAAATGAGTTAATGGTTCTATTCATAAAATTTCTACTACCACTACTATACTAATAATAATGGAATTAAGTCAATTACTAATTAAGTTTATATATATCATAAATCTTTTCCTGACACTATATAGATTGTAAAAATAGGTAGGAAAAAATGAACTACCAGCTAGTTAACACAATGATTTATAGACAACCAAATTGTCGAAATATTTATGTAGTAGACCGTCTAGGTCAGCTTCTATTTATTTCTTTAATCAAATTGTATATACTTGCCTTCGTTTTGTTTCTTTACACTCTTTAATAACCATTACCATCTTTTCTGATAGATACCCATATCTCATTTTCTTTTTGCAAACTATAGATAATAGTTATATACACATACACATAGACGCGTTGTGTGAAAGAAGAAATTTACCTTAGTTACCAATGAGAAGCATAGTTGGTTAATGATTATTATGGTTGTTATTATTTTTCCAGGCCTCTTTCTGTCATATTTGCCGAGGGAAGAATGTAGGACTAACTTAGTCAATTATTATTACTATTATTATTCCGATTACACCTAATGTGTAGTTTTTGAAATCGTTTATCCAATGATAATCTGTATAGAATTCTTTTGTTTATTTGCGTATCGAAAATAGTTTAATAACGAAATAAAATGACATAGGTGATTAAGTGTAATTAAACGCTTGTTTTAAATTATTATATATGAAACAAAGTCTGTTAGTCCAATAATTACAATTAACTCTATATATGAATGAAGTAACTCATGGCTTTAATGAATTAATTTTTATACAGATGTTCTATTCTCTGAACTATATTGTTTAGCTTTGAAGTGTTCACCATCCTCTTTCAAACAGAAATGAGCGTTGACGATATTGTCCAGAAGGATAATCAAACGTTTACGACTAAACCACCCAACTCAGAGGACACAACCACTTCTGAATTCCTTACCATGAGCTATAAATATTCTCTATCATCTCTATGAATTAATCTTGATAAAAATTGAAGACTAAGTAATCCTGTCATGCAGTTGACTGTCTTTGAATGACACTTTATATACGAGATCCAAATGTAATATCGTGCCGTTTGAATCAAAGTAGGTGAAGTAAGCATTATTACTCGCTTTTTACATGAGTAACATATTAATCACTTCACCAGTACTTTAAAATGAAGTCGACTGAATAATTTCTGTAGTTTAGTAACAAGACAGTACATCAAAGTTTACGATCTTAGCAAGTATCCAAAAATATCCATAGTTTCTTAATTCAGTTTAAACTTACTTATCAAATAGATAAGAATTCAAACTCAATAGTTTGTTGTTAATATCTCTTATGATGATTTAATTAGATTAACAATAAATTCAGTCACTGTAAATAAACAATCTATTTCAATTGCTTGAGTAAATCATTCAAGTGAATTCTTTTAAATAAACTAGTCAAAATGTACGAAGGAATAGCTGAATAGAAAACAACTGTCCATCATCTACTATAGGAAATAGCAATAGGCTATATTTAATTAGGTGATCATATAGGAAATATAAATCATTTAGGAATAATTTTCATTCCAATGATATTAATTAGGGAACTACTAATAGTACCGAACACTAAAGAATTACTGTAGGTTAATTTGTGAATTTTCAGCAATGAATAACTTTGGAGCCATTGTGGAGAGCCGTGGATCACTGGATTAATAAATCGAAAATCATCCGTTCCTATTTATCTTCCAAGTCAACTAGCTCTTAACCGGTTTGACTTCTTATAGTATTGCTTATAAATGACCCTAGTATCATAGGTTTTATACTTTTGCACGGGAGTGTTTGCATACTGATACAAAGCCTTTTAATAATATATATAGTATATATATATATATATATAATAGATTAAAATAACTTACTAATCACTATATTTTCCTTTTTTCTCAGATTAATTATACTTTCAACAGGAAATTTCTGGATCAGCTTTATAAATTTAAAGCAATTAGTCCCTTTGATAAATTTTGATAATGTAATAAGAAGACGAAGATAATCAGAACTATGTGATATATTAGCGCAATACATTTCGAATAATCTGATCACACGTATACTTGTTAAGAACATTTATATATAAAAATAAAAGGTCAACTAGACTCGAAATGGGGTAAGAGGAGACAAGCATAATAATGAGAGTAATAATAATAATGTGAACATAATTTGAAACCTAATCACTCTGGATAATAAGTCAATATTACCAGAGTAGGTTTAAGATGAGAACAAACTGTTTTTGAATACACAAAAGGGATTTGGATTTTCGTATGGTTAAGGCTTCAATAAACCTTAGTATAGGCCCTTTTACATTTTTATACAACACCACAAAAGTCAAGCTTAGATCAATCTTATGGCCTGTTTTGATTATAGGTTTAGCAATAAAGGATGATAAGTGTTTATCCACTGCTCTTACTGAATCAGATTGTTCGGAATGTATTGCGCTAATATATCACATAGTTCTGATTATCCGCGTCTTCTTATTACACTAGCGAAATTTATAAATACTATCTTTTGTCACCTTAAATTGTTTCTTGTATAGGATTCTTGGTAGTCATGAACACTTTGACAAAAAACTTTCCATAAAGCTTGTTTTAGATATTGTATATAAGTTTTAAATTATGAAAAAAGAAAATTTCAAAGATGCACAAGATGCACACACATTTATTGTTTATCTGTCATTCACTTTTAGTAAGCTGTGCGAATAAACTGATACGTTTTAAACACTTTTAATGACCAGTAAAATATTCACATCGATAAACAAATTGGAAATGATGTAAAATAGAAAGGATTAGTTTCGTATACTCCGTTTCTTTTGTTTGATTGAAGTTTCTTATCAACTATGGTTTCTTTGGGCATTTCCTCTTTACTTTTCCTCTGTTTCCCAATAAATTTCTTTGGATACCCGTTGTTGCTTAGACATTCTTTAACATTCATTCATTCTGTTCCCTACAAGAAGGGATTAGATTGAATATTAAGAATCTATTATAATAAGCAACAATGTAATACTTTATGATATAAAATCTTTTCATGCTTCCGCAATTTTTCTGGCATAAATTGGAAAGTACTTCATTGCAGTCCCAGAGTGAACATCAACTCTGAGATGAAGGTACATCTAGTCGACGAGTCCCAAATAGGACGAAACGTGTATCCTATATTCTACTACTAGCCACTATACATCTTTGCTTATTAATTCTTACAGTTTCAGAGTTCAATGTTAGAAAGTTAACAATTTATCTTCTAACTAGTATTTTCAAACATTGCTTAGCCATTTTTTTAAAAACTAAAGCCATTAGATTCATATTTCACATCACTTTTAGTAAGATTTATTTCTTTGAACATGATTAAATAGTAATTTTAAAAAAATGTAACTAATATTTTGACTAGTTAACTAATCTAAGTGATTGTCCCCTTTACTCTAATGGTATTGTAATAACAATAAAAAAGGGTAAATCTTCGATTAATCTCATGAGTGTATACTTATAAATCTTAAATTAGTGGTAAATAGCTAACCAGTGTCTTGTTACTCGAATAATCTTCGAGCTGTTATATATATATTAATGATGGAAATGGATAAGAACTTTCGTCTAAATTTGAACGAACAGTTTCATAATATTTGGATAGGGTCTTTAAATTTAAATTCAGATGATCTATTTAGATAGAAGGGAATTTTGTCTGAAATTCCATTCAACTTTTAATCAAATGGAAGAATTCATCTAACTAACAGAATTATGTTTAAAAAAATGAGAGTGTTTCTCACTGGCAACTAACAATGATCACAAATGAAACTCCTTCTGTTCTTTTTTTCTTCAAATGAACACTACCAATTTCAAACAAGAATTTTCAATTTACCCATTACTATCGATTTATTAATTTACCACTTTCTTTTTATTTTAAATCTTTAACCGTGCCATCTGGTATTATTTGTACGAGGGGTGAATTCCTTTTCATTTACCCTTTCTTTACTATTCCTATCGAACAACAAGGTATTTTTTTTCTAGACTAAGATACTGTTAATATTCATTTAGGATCATATGAAAAGAAGTAAATTATGTTTTTCGTTTCCTTGTTATTAATTTTCATTTTAGATATTAGCGTTGATCAGAAACGAACCCGACAAACCTACACTCGTTATCAAACTTTAGAGTTAGAAAAAGAGTTTCATTTTAACAAGTAAGTCATTTAAAAATTAATAATAATAGAAGTATGGAGATTTGTGAAGATAGTAGTATTTTCACGCTTGAAATCACGAATTGATGTAGGCTAGACCACCAGCGAAAACCTGGAAGCACTGAATGGCTGTTACGTTCTAGTATGAGACTCTTCAAAAGCGAGCATCCACGACCCCGCGTGCGAACGCTTAGGCTCTAAACTACTGAGCCGGCATCCAGTGGTGTTAATATGTAGCTTCAATTAGTTCATGATCTTGCGCAAACTTTCGTTCATTGCCTGAGGTGGATAAACGTCTCACACCCGACACGGAGTGGACTCTACTAGTTCCGGGTTTACACTCACGGATGCGCACTGGTGAGGAGCTCCATACTAGGAAGAAACTGCCATCCAGTGCCTTCAGGTTTTCAAAGGTGATCTAGCTTAGATTAACTCAGAATCTCAACTGTAAAAATAATAGATGAGAACAAATGGTTTTGTATGCATTATTTCATGTGATAATCATCATAGAACGATCTCAGTTGAGGTGCTTTTGAGAATTAGGGAGGAACATATACTTGTTTGATCCTAGCATCACTTACTACTTACTTAAGCTGGTATCTCTCCTAGGACATAGGGCGCCTATCAGGGTTCTTCAACCAACTCTGCTCTAGGCTCTTCTCCTCAGTCGTAAACATGTGGCATTCATGGTATTGGTGTCTCCGTTCAATTGACGACGCCATTTTCGTTTGGTCCATCTATTTTTCTTTAGCAAAGTAATGTAGTTTAATGTTTACGACAAAGTGTACTGTATCCGTTTTCAGTATCCTTTCCTGATTTCTTCCTTGATTTCCAGCCAAAGTAGGTTACTGCTGAAAGTTTCTGGTTGATTAATTCACAGTATCTTAAGTAGACATTGGTTTATAAATACCTGTACTTTTTCGATGATGGTTATATACTTCTTCAAATTTCAGTTTTGCACAATAGAACTGTTATGACGTGAGTTCCAGCATAGGACTTTCAATTAATGTGAATCTATTACTCTACTAGGTATCGAACCAATGACATGAAGGTCTAGTGACAAGTGCTTTACCACTGGAACCACTGATTAAATATCCATTAGTATACATTTCCAACTAAGAGTGATTCGCCAAGTGAAACAACAGTCAATAAATTGAGTCAGATTTTAAAACTGATCATTTTACAGTGAATAGATAATTTTCTCCATTAGTTGCAATATTGATATGTCGATCGTTAGCAGATTAATTATATTCAGTTTGTTTTCCGTAAATAACCGTTTAGATGTATAGTAATAATGATAATAGTAATACAAAAAATATTTCCTGCATTCTTATCATATGAATTTAGTATACTACAGAAATGTTACTATAGTTACAAATAACGGACCAGTTCGTTTTTTCTCAAACGAACGCTACTGATTACTATATACGTTGTTTTTGTTGGTGGTGGTGGTGGTGTATTTAATTAAAATGCACTAAATCCATCTATACATTTCCTAATAGCGTTTTACGAAAAGGAAACTATAGTGGAAATACAATCCAAAGGTGAAATACCTCATATTGATTTTGTTTTTCTGTCAGAAAGATAACAAAGAATAGTTATATATCATTAAAAAGAGAATAGAATAGTGTATTATTTATGTAATTCAATTCTTATTCTAATGAATAATAGATAACGTTTACAAGAAGATGTAACACGAAATGATAATCCTTAAAAGGAAACAATTAAGACTAATGAAATATATGAAAGGAGTAAAGTTTGACTTTATTGCATTGATTTGATTGAAATATAGAATTGAAATAATTTAATCATTTTCATAACCAATAACGATTGATGTGGATTATTTAGTTGAGATAAATTTTCTTTATAAGAATGTTTAATAATCAACTGTTTATCAACGTATATGAGCAAACATAAATAAAAGTAATAAATTATTTCACTGATTGAAATCATGAGTCATTTGAAGCTAGACCACCATGGAAAACCTGGAAGCACTGAACAGTCGTTTCGTCCTGTTGTGGGACTCCTCAGCAATGCACATCCGCGAATCCACCTCGAGGGATTTGAACCCAGGACCTATCAGTCCCACAATAGAACGAAACTGCCGTTCAGTGCTTCCAGATTTTCCATGGTGATCTAGCTTCAATTGACTCATGATTTCAATCAGTGAAACTTCTAAAATCTCCACAAAACCCCTTCTGATAATAAATTATTTGTATTTTCGTTGTTCATTTATTAGATATTTAACACGTAGACGAAGAATTGAAATAGCACATACACTGACATTAACAGAAAGACAAATTAAAATTTGGTTTCAAGTAAGTTAAATGTACTGTATACATTCTCTTAGTTATACTCATACATTAGTTTATATTACACTGTTTAAACTCGATTTTTTTATAATTTCAACAGGGCTTTTTAAAATAACCAGTTTTAAAAAAAATTTCCTGCGTTTTTTGAATTTAAAAAGATAACAACGACATATCAATAGTTAAGATCATGAGTCAGTTGAAGCTAGATCACCATGGTAACCCTGGAAGCACTGGACAGTCGTTTCGTCCTGTTATGGGACTCCTCAGCAATCCACATCCGCGACCCCACCTCGGGGGATTTGAACCCAGGACCTATCAGTCCCACAATAGAACGAAACTGCCGTTCAGTGCTTCCAGATTTTCCATTGTGGTCTAGCTTTAGTTGACTCATGATTTCAACTATTGAAATTATTACAATCTCTACAAAACTCCTTAGGATACTAATCAACATATGCTCACTAACGACTGGCTTCAATAGGTATTTTCTGGAGTTCTAGTGAGAAGCAATGACCAGTGGAGTTCAACCGGATCTGTTGTGAGATAGCAACTCACTGATGACAAATGGTAGATGTGTCACTCAATTTCGTGGAGTACTTGAAGTTAGACGTTAACACTGTTGGATGGCGGCTCAGTTAAGCGCTCGCACACGAGATTAATAGGTTCTGGGTTCGAATCCCGCTATGTGGGAATGTGGATGTCCACTACCGAGCAGTCCCACATTAGGACGAAACGACTACTTAGTGCTTCCAGGTTTTCCATGGTGATCTAGCTTCAATTGACTCATTATCTCAACTATTAAAATTGATATAGAATTGTGAATATTGTTCATCAGACTAATACAAAACTTACGATAAATTTACTGACTTTTAATGTTTTTCTATTTATCTTAATAACAAAATAAGTAACCGTTTCTATTTAATGAAGTCAATTAAAGAGATTTCAATAGCCCTTTTGTAATTTATTGATTTGAACACATAATCAACTTCGATCACTGTTCTTCATTTACTTTATTAAAAATATAAAAACAAATTCAATAGTTTAACCTGAATTTCTGTATTTTATAAACAGAATTTTGATGGTGTTATAATAGATAACAATTAAAGTAACATTGTAATACTGTAAAATGAATTATTTTATGTAGATAACAAGATTGTGCTACTCTATTTCGAACATTGAAAATCGAAGAATCCGTTCATCTTCAGCTGATAATAGCATGAATAAAACAATAAATATAAATAAATCATTCTTTTTTTTAATGATCGAAATCCTCCAAGACCATCTGGTTTTGTTGGCTGCTTTCAAGGATATTCAGACATTTAAGATGATCGTATATATCATAATTTAAAGTAGTTTTGAAAAAAATCTTTTGCACAAATAATTGACAATCTCATAAATTTATTAGTCACAGATGTAAAAATATGAATGTTATTATATGTGGTGATAATCTGTAAATCATCGCTATATCACCAGTATACATACTTCTATATTTTACCCCTTTAATTCAGCAACAACAAAAAAAAACATTCATCGCATCCATGTTTTTCTATCTCCTTTTAAAACTATTTAATTTCATTAACCAACCCCCGGAAAGTTTTGTACTTCTCTCGTACTCCCCCTACTGTCATATTTCTGTGTTATTTGTAATAACATGTAGGCATGAAATATTATCTCTTTCAGTATGTTATTTTCCTTGCCAGTTTTTGGTTATTATAAAAAAGAAGGTAAACACAGTTTCCTTTAGTTCACCCTTTCACATTGTATGTATGCAAATAGAAGTATTGTCTTTAAAACAATAAAAGACTAACTAAATGACAGGGAGTTATGTATTTAACAAGAGATATAAATATAGAGGACACTTACTAAAAGGTGAATATGTCTAATGGTATACTTTCTCGGTTAAACATAGATTTCTTTCTGTTTTCCTCTAACGTACATTTTTTCATATTGTTTTGTCTAAATACTTCATCTCATTATTTATTACCTATACTGTTTTACATCTTTAAATTAAATATAAATGGTAGTAGATTTTTTTTAATTTTTACACTAAGGATACATAATAATCAAATCTTTTCAAATTAATATTGCACTTTCTAATGAATTCTGTGTCAAGTTATCCGTAAACTTTTCATCAGAAAACTTGATCATCCAATGTACAACCACAAGTATATATATAATACTATACTATGAGGTTTGCGTTCAGATGTTCAAGCTGATCGGAATTAGTCGACAGGAAACCTTAGACCTAGGTTTCAAGCTATCTAGCAGATCCGACACCAGCCCCAAAGTCACAGACGTTACTGCTGAGCTATCTGGGTCACAACTGATATCTTGTAGGACTGAAAAGTATCATTAATTGATTAATCACTGAATGGTAAATAATCTCATGTATGATAAGTCCTTCGTAGTCCTGACAGAGCTCTATTCATCAAGTTGTAATGTGGCAACTAGTCTACGTGACTCAACTTCCTACATACTACGCTGAGATGCTAAGTGGTTGGAGGTAACTGGCAGAAAACCCTAAACCTGGGTTTCATGCTTTTTTGCACTCATCAACAAAGTGTACTTGTATTCTTGAGGGGAGTAATACAATTTAGTCAATAGAATTCAAACACTAAGAAGTACTTGGTATATATAACACTGGTTACTATTCATCGATAATTCACTTGTATAAATGTCTATATTTTGAAAATGTAGAATGTAACAAATAAATATTCATTAGGTTATCTGCTTGGATTAAAGTGAACTATGAAAATTATAGTTAAATCAGAATTATCCATTTAGATTTTTTTTATCTGACAAAAGCTTTTTGTACAAAACGTTGCACTAGTCTATATGCATCAGTTATAGCTTGCTAGTAATTCATACTTATTCACTCACTTGGTCATAAAAACGGACATTATGAGATTCTAACAAGTTATTAAATTTTTCAATGGATTATTCATCACTATCGATGTATTAATATACAACTCAGTGAACGTAAAAGAAAAAAATCCGATAGAAAAAAGCACTTCAAGTTGAACAAAATATTTATTAGTTTTGTTTAGTCGTAGAATAAACTTAAATCACCAATTAAATACTTAATTACTCCTGTTAACCCTCGCGGAGGAGCATAAGTCACCCATCAGCATTCTTTATCGAACTGTGTGACCTGGGAAATTCTTACTAGTAGTTGCAGTCATTAAAACAAATATATCAGTTATATAAGATGAAATTCTAATAGTTAATAGTTTAGTTCGTGTAGAAAAATTAAACGTTAACAACTATATACTACTGATTTCAATTTATATTTTTGAAAAATCGTTTAAGCAAATGTGATAATATTTTACTGGATGTAAAAGTTACTTTAATATTAATAATGTAATTCATTGTTAAATCTTTTCTTTCATTATAAAAATGATTTATTTAGAATCGTAGAATGAAATGGAAAAAAGATCATAATATAGCTAAATTAAATGGTCCTGGTACATTGGAACAATTAGAATTAGCTGAACAAAGTTCGACGATTTCAACAATTGGTCGAAAAAATCATAAAACTTCGTCAATCTGTGATGATAGTGATGAAGAATGTATAAAACGTAAACGTTTATCACTTGAAGAATTTAATTCATTAGATACAATGTCAACTACTGGAATTATTATGGATCGTAATACATTTTCTATAGATCATAATAATATCTCTGATAAAGATAGAAATTCGAAAAATAATTACATGTTAACACAACGTAATAAATCACGACATATTCATCGTGGTAAACATGATGGTGTTGAAGATGAAGATGAAGACAACGAAGAAGGAGATGAAGAAGAGGAAGAAGAAGATGTAGAAGATGGCGATGAAGATGATGATGATATTGATGAAGGAGTAAATAGAACACGAAGAAAAGAACATAACCGAAATATAATGAATGTATCAAATAAACATTCATGGTCTTTAAGTCAATCAGAGAAGATTGCTAATTTTCATATTCCAGATAGTATTTATTTAAAAGCTCAACAAACTGGAACTAATACAGAAAATTTAATGTTTCGTAATGAATGTGACAAGAATTGGCATTCTTGAGATTACAGTTAAAGAATCTAAAATTCGTATAAAACTATAAATACAAAGTATACTATCTGATTCTTCATTTATATCAATATTCTAATCAAATATGTTTTTGAAGAAAAAACACAACTATTCTGTGAGAAGAAACAAAAAAAATAAGAAAGTAGAAAAGAAAGCCCGTATTATTTCAGTGAAATAAATTCAACAACTAAGCTTTCTTCTTCATTTGTACTTTATTCTTTCAACTAACTCTTCAATTGATACTGATCAGTTTCTTTTGAGAAAACAAACAAACAAAACAACTAATCATATTGTCCATTTCATCAAATCAACGAATATACACATTGTAAATAATATTACTTTTATCAATAGTCAATTTCACTATGGAAACTAAATGACATGATTTGACTACCTCAATAAAATGCAGAATAACAAATAAAATCACTTTGGTAACGCACATCTTTTTAGTTTTTATGGTATCATTCATTCAAAATACAGTATATTATTAATTCATACGATTTTCATTTTAACAATATATCAATGAATTGAAACGTATAAACGCAATATTATCTAACTTTATACTCACTATCTATTCATTATTATGTGAATATCTTTCATTTCTATCTTACAATTCAACTTGTTTAACTTATCATTCTTCTTTTTCTTGGTTACTATGTTAAATTTTAAAACAATTTGAAATTGTTTATTCATAGTGTCTTTAATCATTTCATATAGTGAATTCATGATACTTTACTCATTCTCTATATCATTTTTGATTCGATTCATTTTTTACCGCCTCATAAATTTGCACTCCCACTCCTACTCTCTCTCTCTCTCACACACACATACATGAGCATCAAACCATTCTTAGCAATTCATGTTTTACCTGTGGTTCACTGATTTCTTTCTTTATTTCTTTCTTCTATCATTCTTACATTTGAGTGAAAATTAATCATTAACTGGTCAGTTTATTGAATGTACATGATACATGTGAACAAGAATAAGAGAGTGATATGCTCCAGTTTGTGTCATATTGAAGATAATGACTAATAGACAGAGTTTTTTATACAATTTGGAACATGTTATCAATGTTATCCTAAATTGGAATAAATAAGTCGGACAAAATGAAAAGATAAAACGTACTACTTACAAAATGTTTAGTTCTTACAAGTATCTTTTGTCACTTCTTTAAAAATAAAATTGTATTTAAACACAATAATTTGACATAATACTACTAACAATGATACTAATAAATAAAAGAATACAATGATTGTTATCTGATTTAATTGGGGTTTATATATATATATGACTTGTTTTATTCAACTGAATTCCCCTTTTTGTATTTATATTACTAAAGATATTTGTATGATGATAGTTTACGTATAATCTGAAAGTAATGCTTATTTCGAATTCATATTAATTTAAAGAATAGAAAAGAAAATTAAAATGAACTACTTAGATACTACTTAATTAACTTGAAACTTTATATCAATCTATACTACTATTATTAGTAGTATTATCTATAAGATCATGAGTAATATCTTTATGTATGTTATTTGTAACAATTAAAATATAATTTTTTTGGAGCTAATAAGTTAAAAATTCAACTATTTCTCTTATGTACAATTTGTATAGAATCAATCAGCTTAGAATAAGGTGTAATTTAGTATTTAGTTTTATAATTAGGTATTTGGTTTTGCTTTCTTGTTTTCATTAGTTCTTTAATAGATAGTGGTATGTAGTTAAGATTACTGTGAAATTTCATATTTATACATAATTTGTTTATTATTCAAATTCATTTTTAATTAAAACAAATCAGCTATGAATAGACAAATTGTAAAGATATTCGAACATAAACCTGTTAGAGTAAAGTAAATGGACTATGATTTTTGTCATTTTGATTTGATGAAAATGTACACGATCAATATACAGAATCTAATTAATAATCTATATGATAAGATATTATAGCCTATTGAGTTGGTAGAGAATATTTGTTGCTCAGGTGGATGATTTTGATGGAGTTCTGTTCTCTGAACTGGATGGTTTCATCGTTCAGAAGAACGATGAAAGTTCCACAACTAAACCATCGAGCTCAGAGAACAAAACTCCCTCAAAAAGCCTATTGAGTATTTAGATTATCTTCTAATAAGAATCTTAACAGATAAAGTTTATTCACTTTATTTTGTTCGTTATTATTTCATATCTAAACAATACATCTGCATTTTCGTTTAAACTAATCATAGTAAAGATCATGAGTCAATTGAGGCTGAATCACCATAGAAAACCTGGAAACACTGGACGGCCGTCTTCTCCTATTATTCCAGGTTTTCCATGGTGGTCTAGCTTTAATTGACTCATGATCTCAACTGTTGAAATTACTACAATCTCCACAAAACCCCTTCTGATACTAATCTTAGTAAAACCAATTAGAAGATTCAAATTAAACTTACATTATATCTCGCATACAAATAATATGCTTAAATAACAGTTTAAGTATTTCATTAGATGTAAATAAATAGAAATCGAAACGGTTCAATAGTTTATCCAGTTTTATATTTGTCTAATAATCAGAAAAATAACCATAACCTGTATCATTTGGTGATTAGAAGAAAACGAGCTTTGAAACTAAAATAAAATCTGGGTTACTTATAAAATTTTCAAAGTATTTATCGAGATCACATTGTTAAGTACGTAACTGCGTTGCTACCTAATTAATTATTAATAATTTTAAAATGATTTTGTACTGTAGACCAGTGTAATCTGATATATCTATCAACTGTTCTATTATTTTTGTGTAAGTGTTAATATTACAGACTGATTCATTTACTGTAGGTTTGAAAATCTATATTTATTATATTCACACCGATATTATTAAGTTATTGATTTATGTGGATCGTTTAATAAAATTTATTTCGTCCTAGTATGGGACTCTTTAGCAATGCGCATCCACGATCCCGCCTCTCGCGAGATTCGAAACCAGGACCTGTCAGTTTCGCGCGTGAGCGCTTGACCATTAGACCACTGGGCCGTCATTCAACGGTGTTAATGTTTAACTTCGACCAATTCACGAATTAATTTCAACAGTATTTACATATTGGACATAGAAGTTTCTGCTAATGAACAGTGTATATACACAGTAATAAAGGACTGAAAAAAAATCCCCAGTAAAATTCTAAACTACACAAAAGTGTTTTGGTTTAGATTGTCATGAGTTCAAAGTGACACTGAAAAAAAAAACTAATTTTTTAAGTTCATATCTATGGAATTGATAAACAAAGGTTAACAACAAAGGGAGAAGACCGATTAGAAGGCAAAGTAGAAGCAAAAGATTAAAATAAAAACAACAAGATAAAACATGAGTTTATCCACTGCACATTTACCGTTAGAAAGTACTGATTGGGAATTTTAAATAAAACAACCACAAAATTGATAATAGATACTTTTAACTACTAATATTTGTGAATTATTCACAGGTTTCGAAATCTATTTTAAACAATTTCTACCACTATTGAAACCATCCGAACAGGATGCATATATATATATATACCAACAATAAACTAATCAAACTGATCAATCCTAAATTACAATTGAAAGATATAAGTAAACAACATCAAATGAATTTAATTTCTACCAACATCATGAGTGCTAAATAAATCAATGAATCTGTCTTGTTTTAATTTTGAACTTGACCTTGAATTGAATATAAAATGATGTAATTTATCTTTTTTCTTTTCCTTCTTCTTCTTTTATTCTCTTTCTTATAATCTATATGTTTAAATAAGATAAATAAATTAAATATCCATGGTCGAAATAAATTTTTTTTTTAAAAATGTGAATAAACAGAATTGAACTTTGATTATTTCATATTTATCCAGAAATGATTACACATATTACTGTTCTTTAATTCTTCTTTTTGTTTTTTTCTTTTTTTTAAAAAAGAGAAGTAATTTCTAGAAATGAGAGAAGACTGAGTGATTTCTTAAATTTAAACACATAAATTAAAATAATACTAAGGTAATCATAATCAATATTTGTAATTTATGAATGATAATTGTACTGATTCAATAGTAAGTGTTTCATGTCATAAATACATATATGAAAACCTAGTGGTATTATATAAAGACCAGTTATTCATTGAATGTATAATTCAGAAATATTATCAGAATGGGTTTTGTGGAGATTGTTTAGAAATTTCACTGGTTGGAATCATGAGTCAACTGAAGCTAGATCACCATGGAAAACCTAGAAGCACTGGACGGTTTCAATCAGTGAAATTTCTAAAAAAATCTCCACAAAACCCATTCTAATAATAATAATAATCACCTGCTCACTAGTGACTGGCTTCAGGAGATACTCCCGGAGTTCTAGTGAGAAGCCGTTATCAGCGAAGTTCAACTAGGTCTGTTGTGAGATAGGAACTCACTGAAGACAATGGTATACGGTGGCGCAACTTCGTGAATTGGTTGAAGTTAGACATTTAAACCGTTGGATGCCGGCTCAGTGGTCTAATGGTTAAGTGCTCGCACGCGAAACCAGTAGGTCCTGGGTTCGAATCCCGCGGGGTGTGGGATCGTGGATGCGCACTGTTGAGGGGTCCCATGTCAGGACGAAACGACCTCCAGTGCTTCCAAGTTTTCCATGGTGGTCTAGCTTCAATTGACTGATGATTTCAACCAGTGAAAATTCAGAGATAATTGAAAATTCGGTAAGACTATAATTTGAGCGATTCTAGAGTGACTTTGAGAGTATTCACGGTATAACTAGGATCAAATGAAGATCACAAACTAGTGTGATGAATTAGAATTGTGATTTACAGTTGATGATTAAGATTAAGAATTAGATTCAAGGTTTTCATTACGAACTGATATCAGCTATAGTGCCAAAATGGTATTTCGTGCCAAAATCTAATACCAATTATCTTAGACCTGATTGGTTCGTCTACAACTTGTAGTCCCGCCAAAAGCTCTAGATGATTTTTCATGCTCAAACGATAGAAATGAAGTAAAGTATACTGTCATTTTAGTGTTGAATTACAGTATGGGAATAAATAAAAAAACTGTTCAAATTTGTAGTTGAGTTTCCTTAACCTCTGTACAATCAATCATAAGTTTAGTCCTCTACAAGTTTTTACATATGCATTATAAAAATGACTAACACACAAAGGATAAAGACTCAATTTAGTACTGTCAATAAACTGGATAATTTTTTTCACATATGTTTTCTGATATTTTAGTGTTTGTAAATATAATATGAACCTAACCTTGAAGGGGAGAGAAACTTACATGTGTTGATTAATTAATAGCAACACATATCATTAGTATCTAGTCTTTGTGTTTGATGAATTATATCGATCAATTTACAGCGTAGTTACTAGTTTAAGTAACTTAACATTGTATGAACTATGTAGAGATGGTAATTAGTTAGAGTCAAACGATAGGAAGTCACTAAGTGACCGTAATTTCTAATTCTAGAACAACTATCGGTTCGATAACTAATGAAGAGAAAATAACGAAACCGATCAGAATACTATTTTCCATTTTCATTCAAAAATGCATATATTATGGTAATTGTTAGTGCAGAATTCTTTTGATATACATTTTCAATAAAAAAAGGAACTAAATAAATCAATGCAAATAGGTAACTTGGCAACAATTTAGAAATTTTTTTTGGAAACAATAACTAAAAAGTTCTATAATCAGCCGGTTTGATCATATATTTTACAAGATGATTTCATTTTACCAATGTTCACCACAAGTTTAACAATATTATCTCATGTTTTCGAATAAATAATTATGTACATACATTTCACATGAGGCAATAAATTTATATATTTAGGGTTAGATAAAGTAAATACATTCTGATTACTGAACTACTAAAATATAATCATTCACAAGATAAGCATGTGGTTCCGGTTCAAGTTTCTGTAAAATAATCTATATTGTTGATTGATGGAACTAGAGTGAACCATTCATATAAGTATTGACTTGAATTCAATAGGACAAATGCAACTATAAAGATACTGTTGAAAAAAGAAATCTTTATTTCTCTATATCAATATAATCTTTGTTTAATGGTGAATTTTCTGGGAAATGACTAAAAATTAAAGTTGATTAGGAATAAGGTAGAATAATTCAGACAAATTAGAGAACTATTGAATACCAGGATAAATTAACACAGTCGTTTCATTCTTATTGATGATTTTTCATCATAGTCACTCTACGATCCTATATCAACTTGAATCAAGAACTTTTAAATCTCATAGTTGCTATATGAATATCATGTTATTGCGTAAAAATACAATGATGAACGTTTTTGATTTCTGTCAAGTCGCATAACTGATTGACATTTTAAAAATACCGTTCTGCTGAATGATGGATAACTTAAAAAGTTACACAATTGTTTTTTTTCAATTAAGAGAACCTATCATGGGGTTTCAGTTCATAAACAAAAGTTCAGTACTTAACTTACTTACTTACGCCTGTTACTCTTAATGGAGCATAGGCCGACGACCAGCATTCTCCAACTCACTCTGTCCTGGGTCTTCCTTTCCAGTTCTATCCAACTTTCGTTCATTTTCTCATGTCTGTCTCCATTTCCCGGAGTAATGTGTTCTTTGGTCTTCTCTTTACCTTTGGCCTTCTGGATTCCATGTGAGGG